AATTTTGGGGCGTTGAACAATCCTGTCTGGGAGATGCGCTCCCGCATTTGACTTCTATTCAGAATCGTAGCGGTGGATTGAGTTCGCATGGGCGAAAGAGTATGGTTTCAAGCTGAGCCTCAATGAGGGAGGAGTGGAGTGGGGGTGAAATGATTACACCGTGCAAAAAGCTAGGATGGGGTATGAGCTGGATATTCAATTGACTTGCCCACCTCGGTACCCCTTCCCTCCTAGAGCTCAAATCAAAAAACCGTATGTTCTCTGCTAGGAAACGTTAATGAGCACAATTATGGGCTAGCCTCCTTATGTTGAAATTATAACAAAAAAGTTCGGAGGATTCCCAACTACATTATCACCTCCAATTTTTGTAAAGACATACATAGCACGATGCCAGTAAAGAGCAAATCACAGTTTTTCCCCATCACTCACTTCGATCAGCAGTTCTCGATCTACTCCATCAACCTACCCACCAACTTATATAAGAGAATAGAATAGAGCTAGGTTCTCCATATCACTACCTTTATCGTAATCATAAGTTCTGCGGACGGACAGACCGACAAACCGACAAACTTACAAAACGACACACCAAGTTTCTGTTTTATAAATGAGAGATCTTTGGGGCGAATTATAAGGTAAGGCTTCCGCTTGTTGATATCCTGTAGATAGAGTTCATTATAGGATAACCGTTTTCATTTCCAAGCATCTCTACTAATACCCTTTGATTGCAGGGCAGGATTTCGATTCACACCCGTTATGTTGGGGCAATAAATGGGTAAATCCTAGCAGCCCTTTCACTTCCGAACTGGTAATCTGGCTCAGTCATGTTTTGCAAAATCGGATCTGTATCAACGATTTCGCTTTTCTCAGCAACAAATTCCCACATTCATTTGAACGACAAATTTAGGATCAACTTGCAAATTCCGAAACGTTATATCCCCGATAATCTCAGCTACAATGTCCGTAATGGTTCCGGCATTTTCTATTAAAGAGAATCTCTGATTCCCAATGATGTCACGTTGATGCTTTGGATCAAAGACGGATCATATGAGGCGTAATATAGCAGGAAAGCTGGCTGCGATGGATGCTACACCTTTCTGGAGCACACTTCAAGACAGTGGACGAGACAGAATGTACAGCAATATATATAAGTTGGAAATTCAGATCGTCATGCCTTACCCATGACGACACTGAAAAAATGTTTTGACAGCAGGAATACTATAGCCACACGACTGACATCTTTCCTAGGAATCCAATCCGAAGTAATCCCAGAAACCCACCAACCAGCATCTAGGACCTCATACTCTACGAGTTTGCCAATTTTATCGCTTTTTTTCTACCCCTGCGCTATTCTGTACCACCAGCTCCGTTCTTTCATTTGAAAAGAGTGAATCGACTTTTTCTTGAATTGCATTTTTTGGTAGGAAAACTTTTTCGGTTAAGAAATACCAGTTATGAAACAGTTCTCCATCTAGAGAATTATGCATTCAGTAAAACTTCCAATAAAGGCACTGATCAACAGGATAGGATATCTAGAAGGGCGCTCGGTCGGATCTGTCACTGGGAGATAGCATTCGAGGGTGCATGAAGGCGGCTCATAATGCACAGATTTTCTTCTTGACTCCTACTCTTCAGCCTAGCTTCATACTCCTTGTATTACAAGCTCTGCATTATGACTGCACTCTTTATGTTGGTGTCCTTGTTTAACAGCCCAAGATTGAGCTGAATTTAACACCCATTCGAGAAGGAGCATCTGCAATGCGTGGCTCACGAGCATTTTAGTTCATCTACACAATACGACACTTCTTTTCCAAGTTGTGCAGGCCGAACTTCGTGGGATAGGGATTTCTTCTTGTGACTAAAATAAACTTACAACTTTGCTTGCCTCTCCCATTGGATTAGCGCATAGATCTCGCCACACCTCTGCATAATTTTTGACCCAAACATTTGAAACTTGAGTTTTGCCGTTTTGAGTTGAAGGTGCTCAAATAATCTTGCCAGAAATATGCGACGTTACTTTTCGTTACTCTTGCGAATAGTACTCGAGGATCTTGATCGGAAATCAAGAGCGGGACTCCTCCTGAAAACCACTGAAGCCATAAAGTTCACTCTTTTTGATTTACCAGGGGCTTGGGCTCCTAGTGTGATCATTTTTGATTGGCCCGCTAGTTGAGCTAGGGTCACCACAGGACAGCGACAGAAAGAAATTGGCTGTTCTACAGGTGTAATTTGACATTTCGCTCACTTCTTGACCAATACTAACAGTTACAAATCATACTAACAAACAACAGCCGAGGTAGCCGCTTGATCTGCCCCAGCCAAAGCCGAACTGTTTGGAATGGATCGCTAACTGTGGATTATAGCGAGCTGTGTTACGTAACTCCCGGTTGATATAGGCTATGAAAAAAAACCACGCCCAACCGGTTAGGCCTACGGCATTTTGTATGCTTGTCATCGCCTCTTTCGGACAATTTTTTACTGTCTGTTTCTTTTGGGCCTTTTACAAGTTGTCTTTGTACTTGCCATCCATTGCTAGAATTATGGCAAGCTCATCTAATGGGAAAAGCCGCCTTGTCATCAAAAGACAGCATGGGGTTTGAGTGCATTTTCAACCGCTAAACGTTTACAAGCCCTGCATAGTTTTCGCTGTAATTAAAGCTCTACATTGTCTGGGACAACTTTGACCAACGAGAACTAGACCGTCATTGAGAGACTGTCCGGTGTCTCGTGGTTTGCGAAGGGCGGCTTCAATTTCGTCGAGACCGCCCTCGGAAAGCGTCGAGTGGACGGGCAGGAAATACTGCCCATGAGCCATTCCACATTCCTCCCCGTTCTTCACTAAGTAGTACTGAACCAGAGCCTATTACAGGGCGCTTCTGCCGGGCTGCGTTTGACGCCATTGACTGAATTTACAGTCGTCCATTTGCTTGGAAGATGTATAGAAAATGTTAATATTTTCTCCGATACTGCTGCTATTATTTTTTGTAAAAGGTGAGTGATTACCGTATTCTGCTTGTTCTCGATATAACAGTGATCCCAGAGCCTCTTTGATCATTGTCGATGAAGACATGCCTGGTTTGTCAGTAGAAAACAACCTGAAGAGGTGTTTCTGGTAATTCAATCCCTCGACAGTCGTCGAAGCATGTCACTTGTTTACTCAAGGGACGCGGACATTTCTGGCTTAATTCTGTCGTTCTTCATTTCCTTCTAAATGTCTAATTCCAGAGTCGCATGAAGATTCTAATGTTCCATCGACTTTTCTTACGCTGAACGACTTTCTTAGGATACCGGAAGGTAGTCCTTTTCTCAGCTATTAATCCAAATTCTGACTTAAACGAAAAATCAGAGGGAAGTCACCTTGACTGCCATTGTTTTGGTTGAGACTGTTTCGAGAAGACGGCAATCTGAAATGCTCTGAAATGGAAAGAAGGCCTTGAATGGTGTTCTTCCTCAGACGTGATACCACTTCCCGTGCACCCATTGGCTTAGCGTGGCAGCTGACGATAGCTTCCGACAAAATGATGTTTAAAATTACAGAAGACGAGGTGTTTCTGACCGATGAGGACTTCAAAAACGGCGAACGTTTGGCAAATTCATCAGCGGGCAATTCAGCAGGAATGCTCTCTCGCCAGTCATTTCTTCATGGAGACATCAGAGGAAAGGCCGCATGGAAACTGGTAAAGCACGTTTTCTATCTGAACTTTTGATGCCATCTATTCATGCGAGTTTTTCATGATTTTTGTGTGATGTGTAGGTGCAGTGGTTTTTTCGTCCTCTCACTAATCATGGGAAAGTAAAAACGAGTAAAAACGGATGTGTCGAGAGTTATCTGTACATAACATGCGCCTCGATTGATAATCCCTCACCAGTTAATTCCGGTTTGTTACGCGACTGCTCACAATAGCATTTCGTCAGGAAACCAGTCGGAGTGGCGTCGAATCGGCTCGTTCTCGGAGTGAGCCGAGTGAAACGGGAAGTGGAGAGACGTTGGGGAAGCATTGCAACCCTGCGTGGCTCCTAGAGCTGCTCACTTGACTCTCTTTGCCCGATGATAACGAGAAGCTTATGATCAAACAGATCATCCTGCTTTTCCGCATTACACCTCGGAAAATATTTGTGTTGACCACCTCATCCAGGTTGCATCATAGAACGAACAAGGCTAGCATATAGCATGAAGCATAAAAAGTTAAAATTTTGGGGCGTTGAACAATCCTGTCTGGGAGATGCGCTCCCGCATTTGACTTCTATTCAGAATCGTAGCGGTGGATTGAGTTCGCATGTGGCCCGTACAATGACTTACGGTGGCTAACCGATGTGCAAGTCAGCGCTTTTATCCTCCCAGACGAGCCTGGTACCAATTCAACGCCCTTGGGGGAACGGAAGGCTTGTTTGGCTTTTGTTTGTTTAGACGGATATTGATTCGGGATTCGAACCCGTGACCATGCGTGTGTAAAAAGCCCCCCTTGCCACTGAACCACCTCAGCCTAGCGTGGAGTATACTACGATTCAATTTCAGTAATTCCTTAGAACCTCTCGTCGACCAACATTCCCTGGTAGAGAAGAAGAAGACCGAAAATAGAGAAATCATTATGCAGGAAGAGGTATTCCTACTCTTCTCTTCTTCTCAATTGCTACGTATTGGTATTCGTTCACTTCCTTCCCAGATATCTACCAAAAAATCTCTTAAAGAACCGAGACTTATTATGGGCATTCAGTCAAGAGTAAACAGTTTTTTTCCGATTTCGAATCAATGGGTCTGCTTTTTCTCCCCGGCTCAGTTCAGGTTAAGAACGTCTCGTGGAGCGCTCTCCATGTTTGTCAATAGCCGATTGGGTTCACCTAGCCTGCCGATTTCACGCGAAGAGACCATAGCCATTGCATACCGGTGTTTCGGAAACCCGACTAGCTCCCATGATCCCTATGAACCCTACGAAAGTGGCTATGGATATCATTGCTGCAGTTTTGCCATGTTTACTACCAGACGCTACGCAAGGAAATGAACCCAAACCTTGGGATACCAGGTCATCTAGCTCAAAGTGACGTAAAGTTTACTACGACCTCTGCTGCTTTTACTGGGTTGTTCAAAGAATTAGCTAGAGGTGCGCATGATTCAGATTCACCCCAGACTCTTCTGCAATTCTTTGGTAATACTAAAGTGTAGTGAATGAACAGTTACTGTAGGGATCGCTCTGTTTCGCTTTTGCCTGACGAGCTTCTGATTGAATCCAATTCGGGATGGTGTTCATTTTCCTTCTTAGATTCGCGATTGCTTTCTCTCCACCTTGCTTGATACTGAACTGATTGTAGCACGCTCTTCGAGAGTAAAAATGATAATAATTAAGGCGAAGCAATTCAGAATAGTGAATTTGAGTTCTCAATGGCTTTTCCTTAACAATGTCGTGGGTAGAAAAATGTAAAACTCTTGTCTCACGAAGTTGACGATTTCTGGGAAAACTTCGACATCGGACGGGACCCGAATCCGTACTAGTGCTTCCGGACACCGTGCTCTCTATCTCTCACACTACCGAAAATCAGCCTGACCCGTCTACTTAGTGGCCAAGACATCAAGTCAAGAACTCTGTAATTCATCCATCCACGACCGTGGTCGTTCATTACGTGACCATCCCGTTTGCCATCGTTTGTGAACCAACCCTTCAAAATTATCGCTGCTGCGCTGCTGAAGAAACGAGAAGGTTATCATTGCAGTGCGTAATAGCAAAAGTGCCACAGCGGTTGTATACAGTCATGGGGAAAAGTAAACAATGTCATCGCGAAAATTTATTTCACGGCACTTATTCTACCCTCTTCTTACTCAAAGATGGGGCTGATGATATTGCTCCTCTCCGTATATGTGACACTTCCCTCTGTGGGTAAATTGCTCAGGAATTTGGTGAACAACCGAGCGCTCTTTGAAACCTTTTCGTGTCTAGCTTTCTAAATCTCGTCCTCCCTTGCTCAACGGACCCTATCTTTTGTCCAGATGGAGCCAGTCGTTGCCTTGACCTAGAAGGTGTCCCCTGCGCAAATCTTTATCAGGGAATCTGTCAAGTATTTTTTCCGCCTGCACCTGGCATTACCAAGCTACCTCAAGATTGAACCGCCGCTATTCTTTGCATACCCCACTACTACGAAGTTTGAGTATCGCATGCCGCGCTTTGACTAGAGGGAAAAACAACACTTCCTCTTCTCGACCATCGCGCTTCACGTTTGAAGCGTAAGCAGCTAGGTCTTATGGAGCTCGAGCCTTTCACTAGCGCTTGTGCGCGACTTTCTTCTGCTTTACGACTTATTTTGACTTAGTCGTTACCATGCTGCCTTGTCTCATCACCCCACGGCTCACCTATTCACCTACTGTCTCATCCAGTGTCGTCCTATCCATTGACCTGAAGACGTCGCCAATGCTCAGGTAAAACTGATCACTTTCGTATTGAGAGGGGGTGGGGAGAAGGAGCAATTGCTTGCGGTGTTTCATAGTGTTGTCCAGGATTCTATTATCATATCTATCTCACAAGATTATTGATCAAATAATGGCAGTAATGAGCNCACCTACTGTCTCATCCAGTGTCGTCCTATCCATTGACCTGAAGATATCGCCAATGCTCAGGTAAAACTGATCACTTTCGTATTGAGAGGGGGGAGGGGAAGAAGGAGCGCTTGCTTGCGGTGTTTCATAGTGTTGTCCAGGATTCTATTATCATATCTATCTCACAAGATTATTGATCAAATAATGGCAGTAATGAGCAGGGACAGACCCTTTGAGGAGCTCCTTCACTGCGAGGGAGGGAGGGGACACGTCTTCCCTGGCTTTTCTTCATTCCCGAAGAGTTTGTCGAAGACATAGGACTTGGATGTTCCTCCATTTCATAAAATTAACTACCTCTCGAAATTTCTCGCGAGGCAATTCGCAATTTCTTTCCTTCCAGCTCTTTTTCAGCTGACTTATTTAGCTAACCTCGTCCACCCATCGGCATCCTCCGCCATTACGCGACCTCGACCTGCTAGCCCTCTAGCTCTGATTCTTACGCGACTTTCAGACATATCCACTGTGATATTCAGTCAGCCTACCTGTCG